GAACGTCATTTTATTCTTTTGCCTTTACCGTCTTTTGCACGGATCACCACATCTGGTGCCGACTGTGCCACTTTCTGTTTTCCCACTTCAAACGTCTTTTGCTGCTTCGAACACAACGAAATTCTATTACGTGATTGATTTCCTTAGATATACAATCACAGAGTTAAAGCAGAAATCGATTTCCGTATAAATTAGATGTACTTTTATCTTCTGTTCATTTCAAGTTAATGACTTCTTCTATTTTCAATGTAATACCTTCTTTTCTTTTATAATACCAGTGAAAAAAATATTTACTTGATTCTAATAATCGGTTACTTGACTATTATTATCAAATAAATATTTACTTGAACCAAATATAAATTTTTTTTCAGTGATGTTCTACAAGAGAAAGGACTAATTTTTAAATAAAATAATTTTTTTAAAATAAATCTTGTTCGAATTTAGAAAAAATATCATTCTTTTGAGTGTTTAAAACTATTTTTTTTAGAGAGTAAATAATTATTCTTCAAAAAATAGATATTAAAGTTTTTAAGGAAAAAAAGAAGTATAAAAGCTTCCTACACACACAAAAAAATGAGAGTTCTCCATTTTTCGTTTACTATACACTTTCATTTTTAAATTTAGCTAATACACCTACACGAGACCATCAAATCAAAAGTTGTCGTAGAAACACGTGCATGATGACATTCAGTACTTTCATCGTCTATACCGTCTGGCTCTTTTCACTTTTTTTTTTCCTTTCAACTTCATTCTCTTTTTATTCTTTTAGTCTCTATCTCTCTCACAATTTTCCAACCTTATGCAATTTTGGCAGAATTCCATTCTTTTGCCGACCCTATACAAATAAAAATTCTCTGATACCAAACTGTCTGGTAAATTCAATCATTTCTTGTTCAATTTTTTTTTTGTTCTTCTTTGTAACAGACATTTTTATGATTATTAATAAAAATATTATTTTTCTCTATATTATATAAAAAAAAATTTAACAATGAAAAATGGAAATATATGATTCATTAAATGCAACCTAAAAATACCTTTTACAATGAAATTCTTACGTTACAAGATATTATATGGATATCAGTATCGATGTTTCTTTTTTGTCGATTACAACATCTTTTACATATGGTCTGAAAATATCTAAAAATCGTAATTTTTTGACAAAATAACGCTGCCGAAAATTCAAATTTGAAAAGGGTAAGCGGTACAGTTGTTACCCCCCTCACAGTGATTGCCACCATTACATTACAAACAGAAATAATAACGAAATTTACATATAATATTTTGTTTTATTTATTTATACAAATTCTACAGAATATTCTGCTAATAGTGTAAAAAGATTTTTATTCTTCGACTCACTATTATGAAAATAATAGCGCTTTTCGAGAACAGTATCCTTAGCTCTTTGAAATTTTGTCAATTTAGTTGTAAATTTGCAAGGTTAGTGGTGATACTTTCTTTGACTTTTTAACGAAAAAATTATACATATCATTATTATTTTTTAATTATATGCATGAAAATAAGTTTAATAATAAGTAAAAAAATTTGTTTTAACGTAATTTGACTCGATTTACTGAAAATTATAGAGAACAACTACTATCTTGCAATTAATAACAAATAACAGTCATTGCCCTACCCGGGCAATGTTTAATTTTTGGTTATTATGTCATTTTTCAGTGATTAACCGTTTATTTTCAAGACTTTTTTGAGATAAGTATTTTTAATGTTTGGACGTTTTTTCATATTTGGTGAATTAACTTTTTAAAATAAAGATGTAATTAGAGCCGCAGCATGTATTAGAATGATTTGTAATATTTTATTAACGATTTTTTAATATGAAGTATGATTTTAGGCTATCGAAAAAATGCCGAAGGTAAAAAAAGGTGTTTCGTATATGCTTCTTTAAGCAATGAAAAACTTCAAAATCATGTAATCATTATATCAAATCAAAATAGCCAAAAATAATTTTTATTTTTACAATTGAGTCAGATTTGACAATTTTCCCAATTTTTTAGGTTAATAGTATTATTTACACTTAAAAGTCATATTTAATGAATCTTATTATTGTTAATAAAAGAAAATTATTTTAAAAATTACTTGTTCTTTATTAATTTCAAATTATATTCATTCTTTAATAAATTATGCAAAATTTATAATTTACATTACTATTTTATGTCTAGTGGGCAATCATTGTAAAATTGATGGTCAATCACTGTAAAAATAATGACAATCACTATTTTTTCTGTCATGTGAAAATTTTTTTATTTTTTTTTTAAATTTATACTAATATTAAATAAACAATTCATTATTATTTTCAGATTAATGGAATATTTTAATTCCTTTACAAATGGTTTCATTTCTCATTTCGATAATTAAACATTTGTAATTTGTATAAATATATCCCCTTTTTGCTTATACTGGCAATCACTGTACCGTTTACCCCTATTTTTTTTTAAATCCTTAGTTCAATTATTATTACTAACAAAAAATATTTGGTTTCTTTGATTTCAGATGAAGCAGCCATAAGATATAATATAATGACCATAGGCTTAATTTTCATTGATTCTAAACGAAAATTTTTGTAAATTATTACTTTTTTTACACGAAGCTGAAGTACGCAACGTTTATGATAAACGATTTTTTAAGAAATAATTTTTTAAAATAAAAATTCTATAATTTTTTGCCTAAAAAATAATTCTTATAGTTTCGTATATGAAATTCCAATTTGAAATATTAAACTCCTTAATATCTCAAAACACCCCCTCGTCGATTTTCATCAAAATTATATGAAAATAAAGCTTAACTTTTCTACTTTCATTTCCGTATGAGATATTATGGACATTTAATGGGATCAATAGAAAAAAATTGTTTAAGGACATCCGGGAGAAAATAATGGTTTTGTAGATTTTTCTTCTCATTTGAAAAAAATAGAATATTTTAGATTGTAATTTTTTGGAAATAATAGAGGAAGGTACCCTGCCGTGGGCTCTTCTCGGAATTTTGCATAATCTTGATAAATAATTATTGAAAAAAATGTTTAAACATTGACAAAAAGTGGATTCGTAAATTTCTTCTCATCTTTAAAGGATAAAGTATTTCGAGTTGGCATTTGGAGGAATAATAAAGAAAGGGTCACTGAGTTCATCACTCTTCTCCATTTTTGCAATAATATTGTGAGGAAATTATTTTATTAAAGATTTAAAGTGGAGTAATTTGGGGTAAGTTAGTTCAGCAGCGGCCACTAGCTAGAAATGGCGCCACCTTCTAGGCCATACTGACACATAGATTCAATGTCTGTCCCCACTTCTGTCAAAAATCCAACTTTTATAACCACGATTTTCAATACTTTTCTACAAAATTACTTGTCAAAATGGAGATGATTCTTAATCAGCTCGCCCTTATCTAATTAATCCGACAAATCCGAACAAGATATTTCAAGTTATTTACGAGTAATATCTCGCAAGGGAAAACACTTTTAGGTTAGGGATTTTTCTCGGATGGCCTTAATAAAATATGTGTTTTTAAAAAATTTGACAAATGGTACGAAGTTGAATCCTAACCCATTCAACGTATGTGATAATCGAATTTCATTATTATTATTATTATTATTATTATTATATATATATTATTCTTACACTGAAAAAAGGTTTGTTATTGACAACCAAACGTTTGGTTGCTTTGATACCAACCAAACGTTTGGTTGTCAATACCAAACCCTTTTTTCAGTGTATAGTCATCACTGAAAAAAAAATTCTGGTTAGGCTATATTTAACATTACTTTCTAGTTAAATTAACCAGAATTCTAGTTGCATTAACTAGAATTCTCGTTAAAATAACCAGAATTCTGGTTAACCTAACTAGAATCAAAATGTTAAATATACCCTAACCAGAATTCTAGTTGGAATAACCAGAATTCTGGTTATTTTAACTAGAATTTTTTTTCAGTGATGGAAAAAGTACTCTCTAAATCTGATAATTAGTAAAAATATTTACTAATTTAAATCAGTTACTCACTTTTTGCTTTAGAATTAGTTAAATTTTATTAATTGTTAGTTAAAGTTACTAATAATTAGTAAAATTTTACTAATTCAGAAGCAAAAAGTAAGTCACTAATTCAAATTAGTAAACATTTTCACTAATTCAGATTTAGAGAGTACCTATCACGGAAAAAAATAGTTCGTGAAACTTTCATAAACTAGTTGTTCACTTTTGGACGGGCCCAAAGTTTGGAAATCTTTCATTAACTTTTTTCAAGATTCCACAAACTTAATTTTGTACGCGTGCGGAGACATTGATTGTCATGAATGAGAGTGATGAACGTTTGTAAAATCTTGGAAAAAGTTAATGAAAGATTTCCAAACTTTGGGACCGCGTCCAAAAGTGAAAAACTAGTTTACTAAAGTTTCGCGAACTATTTTTTTCCGTCTAGAAGAAATATTTTTAGAAATGTTATTACTAAAATTAATAAATAATAAATATTGTAATGTAATAGAAGGTCGTAATTTTTAAAAATTTAATTTTTTGTGCCTATTTCATAAAAAATTTTAGATTCCCATAGGAGTTCATGAGCCAAAAGTTTTGAACGTTCAAATGAACGAAATTTTTTTTACAACTTCTTTAAGTATGAATTTTATTATATAAAATATTGTTTTAAATATCTAAAAAGAAGTTATTAATTTAACGATTTATTTTACATAGCCATCATAATTTTTAATAATTTATAGATTGAAAAAAATATTTCGTTCATTTGAACGTTCAGAACTTTTGGCTCATTTCAAAGTACATTACAAATTTAGGTACTTAATTTTTACCCCACAATGAAGGGTTTAAGAAAAAAAAAATAAAAAATTGCGCTCCTAAAATAAAACATTTAAAAATGCTAACTTGACTGGACTATGATACAAGAAACAATTTCCCCCGTACTATTTTCGCGCAACTAGACAAAGAGGTGTTTTTTTTTTTCATCGTAAGAAAAGAGATCATATAAGGAGACAGTGACTCACCTTTGTGTGGTGGTACCGGTTGGAGAGGCCAGGCATTGGTGAACGTCAACCACATGACCAGCAGAATAACCAGGTGCAATGCTCGGGCCCATCGGCCTTCTCGTGGGGACATTACGGGCCCCCTGGTCACGTGGGCCCAGGCCAGTGGCGTAGCATGCATTGACCTTCACGCATACACCACTAATGCTATCTACAATCCAAAGAACCAGTCATCTCACTTGGTACAGCACTGTTAGAACGCATCACTGCTTCCGACACTTTTTTTTCCCGTGGCTCAATAACACGACTTCCAAATTTATACACTTTTTTTTTTTTTTTTTTTTTTTAACTTTTTGTCATCTCGTTCTACATGAAATCCCCAATGAGTATATATGATTCCTTGGATCCTCTTCTATAATACTTGACGCTTCAATTTTTCCTTGTTCCAATGCACCTTTGTATATACACCCGCTCAAATCTTCATATTATTATCTTTGGACAGGTTCGAAAAACCGGCTTTATGCTTCTCTGTGTTGCTACAATATACTGCTATGCTGCAAACAAACAATGATAGGTCCTGTTAGTCAATTCTCACAAAGCGAGGTCGATGGATTTTATCGCCTCACCAATGTATTGTATATATATATATATATACAATTCAACAATACTAATTATGGGAAACGCTCATTACTCTATATATGTGAAATTTATTACTATCCACTAGTAACATATATTATGACAAATAATAATGTCCTTTATAATTTATAGAAATTAATCGATTGATGATTAATTTTATCACTAATATACTCTATAATTATATACGTAATTTTATACTCAAACTTTACTTGAATAATTTTAAATTATCACAAATGATTTATTTTTAAACAACAAATGCCAAAAGTAAAGATGCTGAAGTCTATAACGTTTATGATCAACAATTAGAAAACAAATTATATTTTAAGACAAAAATTTACAACGTTTTATGTACAAAAATTCTTTTTTTTATAATTTTCTCATCAATAAACATTGTAAAAAAAAAATTTCACTCGAAAATTCAAAGAATTTTTCATTCAAAATATACATATTTTCTTTAAAAATCGTTTATCATAAGCGTTGTGAACTTCAGCACTCGTTTCAACATGGTCAAAAATACGAAGATGAAGTACCTACTTCAGTTACGTTCAAAAATTGGTTTTGTCGTAAACAAAAAAAAATCTACATTAATAATTTGTTTGAAGATAAATAAAAATACACTAACCATTATTACTAGATTTAAAATAAGTTCATAAACTTGAAAATTTGTAATTATTTTTATGGTTCAAATGACTATCAACAATTTAATAATTTAATTATAAATGAAGAAAATTTAAACATTGCACTTGATAAATATTTTTTATGCATTGTTAATTAATTTAATGCAATTAATAGGGTAAATATGTACCAGTGAATGAACACTTAGTGACTTTCTTAACTTTCGACTATTTCTTATTTTTAAATAGTAATTTATTGATAATATGTGACGCTCCACGAGAGAAGGGACCTATCCCCGAAATAACATTAGGCTTAGTTTTCATGTACGGTGCACGGAAAACTGAGCCTAATGTTATTTCGGGGATAGGTCCCTTCTCTCGAGGAGCGTCACATATTTTTCTTTTTTTAAATAAAATATCCAAAAATTAATATTTAATAAAAAAATAAAATATTGACGAAAACACCAGTGAATGAACAAGTTGTACCAGTGAATGAACACTTATTATTTTTAAGCAGTTTATTTATTATAAATATACTAAAAATTTGAAATGGAAGTATTAATTAATAAAGTTAATTGTTAAAATCTTGAAATTAGTCTTGCATATAAAAATATTAAATATAATCTGAAAATATTGTTGACACAAAGATTGCTAACATTAGAGTTACTCTGACAGCTGTTTTCGATATATTTTAATATGAATATTTTTTTGTAAAAAATTTTCATAAAACTTTGAAGTTTACAAAATTTATTGGTAACATATTTTGCACATTTTATTAAAAAACTAGCAACTTTGTCGTCCGCAAGCGGCCGACTACGTTGCTAGTGTGCATTAACCATATTTTTTATTCATTTTTTTTTCAAAAAAATTTAATATTAGAAATGTAAAAAAAATTTCTTTATATTGGATCTACCACCCAAGTAGCAAGGAATATTGCTCGAATGTCAAGCTGATATCAAGCGGCAATATTTTTGTGACATTCAGGCGATATCATAATGTCCTCTTCACGGGGACATTCCTCGGTGATGTATCTATATGATCTATGTGACGGCCTTTCACACAAAAAATGTAACGCATTACAAAACTTACATTCTACATTTATTAAACCTAAATAATTCTGTGGAACTTTACTTTCATTGAAATCTTTAAAAGACATTATTGCAACTCCTGCAGTTTTTTTATTCCAATATTCCTACATGCCAAATTTTAATCCTTGCGTATTTTCTTTTCATCTTCAGTTTTTATAGATAATTTCTTTTTTTTTGCATGTCAATTTTTTTTTTGCGCTCTTTCTTTTTTATATCTGTTTTATTACGATTACGTTTTCTCAATCTCTCATTCTCCTGTCTTATTATTTTCTACTCATATGTAACTTCGCGCCTTGCCTCCCTTTTTCTTCCCTTCTCTTTAATTGCTCGAATTATCTTTTTATCATTTTCTTTACTCAGAAAATTCTTCATTTTTAAATATTCATGTGGTGAAATTTTTTTCACATTATTATCAGTTGTACGAATTATTTTCATTTCACTAGTGTCATTTAGAGAATGTTTAATTTTTAAATATTGTGTTAATAGAACTCTGTTAATATTATTACTGTTCAAAGTATTAAAAACAGAACAAGAGTTTAAAATATAATTTTTATGTTCCTAAGTTCAATTTATGAAAAGACGGTTCTAATTATTCTCTATTATCGAATTCCTATTGTGAGACGTTCTTACTGCCAGAAAATGATTTAAGCGATTATTTTCAAACATTGACTTAAAATGGTTTCTCATTTTGTTATTATCAGTTTCATAATTTACACGGTTTGGCATTACGTTAAATAATACAGATGTTGCAAATGCTATTGCATATACTCCACACTAAACACTACCAAAAAGTTGTTGATTAACAGCTTCAAAAACTACTGTTGGTTTAAAAGGGAACAATCTAATTAAACATTTTATTTGATGCACATTTAAACACTTCTCATTAAGGCTATCAAAAATATAAAGCCTTACTCTATCGTAATAAACATAAATTCAGTGACCATAATTGTTATTACCGCTAAAAAGTATTTGAATATGTTTAACACCTTCTCTAATTGGGACAATAAAATCAAGCATTTGTACATACAAAGTACTTTGCACATTGAAAAATGAATTGGAATCTTTTCTTAATAATTCTTCAAATTTGTACATATGCATGTAATTTAACAATTTATTTCTATTTTCAATAATTTTTAAATCTTTATCACTTAAAATAACATACTCTTTTATGTTGGCCATAGTATACTTCGTTTAATTTTATTTTTGATTGATGAAAATCTAAATATCTTTAACCCTTTTGCTCACTCTCTCTAATATAACCAATTTTGTCTTTAATTCAATACAACCAATTTTACCTTTTATTAAAAATAACCAATTTTGTCTTTAATTCAATACAACCAATTTTACCTTTTATTAAAAATAAGCAATTTTTCCTTTAATTCAATACAATTAATTTTACCTTTTACTAAATATAACCAATTTTGCCTTTAATCCAATATAACCAATTTTGCCTTTTATCCATTAAAACTACCAAATATCCAAAAGAATGAGAGAACTATGAGTAACTATGAATCAGTAACTACTGATCAGCCAATAAGTGCAAAAAGGACACTCTTATATGAGTAATCAGTAGTTCATTACAAATAACATATATACGTATTTATACCTGTATTAAAACCCCGGAACAAATACCACAAAAAAACCAACCATTGGACAATAGAACCTTTGTTAATGGGGATTAACTCTGAGGACCCAGGTAATAATTTCTTTTTTCACATTTATTATATAGAAAAATAAAGATGTACCAACCCTTGGCCAATAGAACCTTTGTTAATGAAGATTAACTCTGAGTACATAATGAAATGTACAGTAGGTTTACATTGACATCGGCACGTCCGACGTCTCGAAATTTTTTCCGTGTATTATCACAAGGAAATGTAAAGATAAAAGTCAAAAACTGAAGAGGTAATGTATATCTTTCTTTCTCACATCAAGGAATATAACATATAATTTTCATTTAATATTGCATTTCTCTATCCAGAGGATTCAAAATAACATAAGAATATCTTCGCCTAAAAATCTTACTCTTCTTTCTTTCTGTTTTCAAAATAAAAAAAATATGTATATACCAGTATTAGACTCTCAGAACAATTACCACAAACAATACCAATCCTTGGACAATAGAGCCTTTGTTAATGAAGATTAATTCTGAGGGGCCAGGTAATAATTTTTAAATTTTTTTATTAAAATTTTCTGGGGCTCTAATACAGGTAGGGGAGAGTGATAAACAGTGGGACAGTTTAAACAGTAGGTCACTTTAATTTTCTGAAAAACTACTAAAGAAACTCGACCAAAATTTAAATGTAAACCATGTTTATGACAACACACTATCTATACGCATGCGCATTTATACTTACACAGCGACTAAAAATGTGATTTTTTATGCTAAAAAACATTAAAAAATTCAAAATTTATAATTATTACAATTATTGTTCGGCAACATTTGAAAAATAACACTTGATAAGAGAACGACTATTCAAATTTTCCTCCAAATTGTTTTTATGTTATGACGAAATTATGACGTATGATCAGCAGTACTGTAAACGTAAAAAAAAATAATAACAATTTTTTATATGAAACTTGACATCGTATTATAAAAATGTAAAATATTATTAAAATATAAGTGTTTTGCAACATTTGTTAACGTTATTTAATGCAAAACATATATATTTATAAAGTATGAAGCAGAATATTATTATTGAAACAAATATTCATTATTTAATAATAGGTGTCCCACTGTTTAACACAAACCTTGAAAACAAGAAAAATGTATCAAGTTCCAAAAACTTGAAATTTTTCTATTTAATCACAATATAATTTAAATAGAATATATGCATTATGTGGAAAAGAGTTCAAACTTTATGGTAATACCAAAAAGTGGACAAAAATATATAAAATTGAAAAAAAGTGATCTTATGCCATTTTGAATTGTCTAGATAGAGAAACGTAATGTTAAACGAAGAAGTACTTATGTTATATTCCTTGGTGTAAGAAAGAAAGGTATGCGTTACCTATTCAGTTTTAGACTTTCTTTATAGTTTTTTCACGTAATAAAGGGAGAAAGAAATTATTACCTGGGTCCTCAGAGTTATTAATTAATCCTCTTTAAAAGATTGCAGGTCAAGCGAACCCTCATTTTTTGCAAAATAAAGATATATCTTTCTCTCTCCATAACTTGTTCCTTTCTCTGTCACCGAAAATCCAGCAGGGGTCCGG